CAAAATAAATCCAAACACGAAATGATAGATAAAAATAAAACAAGATGAGAGGTATCGTAAGCAAAGTTTTTGACTCCTTAGCATACAATAAAATCTAGTATAGTTTGTGTATTTATAACATATGCTTGAGTAACCATTATTGAAAATGATGAAGCATACTGATTTGATCGGTTTTGCTATAAAGTCAACCGTTGGCTCCATAGTGGAGTCAACCTTCTATATACAACAAGTAAATCATACAATATTAATAAAATTATTAGTGTTATTTAAGTAATCAGAGAATATGGTATGATTTACTTGTTGTATATAGAAGATCAGCTCCACTATAGAGACAATCGATTGGCTTCACAACAAAACCGTTGATTTAGAAAAACATAACAATAGAAATATTTAATGGTGAGATAAGAATAACATATATCTTGAAACTAGTACAACACCCGTGTATTACACGGGTGCTTGCTAATTTTTTTCTTAAAATTTAAAATCAATGAGAAAAAGTAGTTTGAAAATTTAAATACCTTTTATAAAAATATATATTATTATATATTTATTATGATAATTTTTATTTGTGCAACTTACTTGTGTTATATTATACTAATTTTTTAACTTATAATATATAACTACATTAAATATAAATATATCAATTGAGAAATAATTTTATTTTTCTAATAATGTTTAATAAGTATTATTATTTTTTATTATTATAAATATAAATATAATTTATTTATTTTATATATACAATATGGATGTCAAATCGAAGATAATCAAAAGATGATTAATTTGATATATTATATATGTAAAACCAATAAGAAATACAAAAGTTATCAACTTTTAAAATACATTTATAATTCAATAGCTTATTGAAGGAAGCAATCAAAATTTAGGGATATATTAGTCACTTAGTGCCTCACTATCTAGAATTACAAATAATTAAAGGGTTATATTAGTAAAAGTGATGTTAAAATACCTAAGTTAGCTAAATAATATTTATGGAATACCCGAACCTAGATTAATAATTATTAATATATCAATATTATTTGTCCAAACCTAATTACGAAGCATGATTCTTCGCCAAATAAGATTCCGAAGTACCAGAAACAGCCACATAGGCTCAACACATTCGAGAATTATATATAGGGAGGATGAGTAAAAAGCTAGACAACATAAATTTAAAAAAAAAAAAAAAAATTGTCATGTTGACCCTACCCAACCATTAATTTCATTAAATCCTGTAATTCTAGGTTTTACATTCGTATCATTCGTCTGTATTGTGCTTCTTCAAATTGTTTTAGCCTTTACATTTGTCTCTCTATGCCCCTAAAGATACATTTGGTATGCATGAATAATGTATAAATTGTAGGCTATCCAACTAACATATTTTTTTCCAATATGTGCATTTAATTATAGAAATTAATCGTTATATTTTTTGTTAATTAATTGTAATATTAATATTATTTAATAATAACTTCATACTAAAAGGTTTGTGAAGTTACACAATTATAAAAGTTCTATATCAAAATTTATTCTTCACAATATATTTTTTTTAAAATTAATATTATCTTCTTTTTATCTCATTAAGTGATATTTTTAAATAGATAACTAATTTTAATAGCATCAAAAATTCCTTAAAATTACGTAAATAATTATTATAATAAAAATAAATTAATATTTTATCATCAAACTAATCATTCACGATCCATTACACTACAAAAATAATGATATTTCAGCAAAAACATACTGTTAATTTATTTCAATAGAAATTCAAATGGATATTTTAATGGCATAGTTTCCGTTAGAATGATTCAAATGAAAATTCATACGTCAGTATTCTATTGGAATGTGTTTTCTATTTAAAATTTTAGTTGAAATTTAATGATTCAACTATCATTTTTTCAACGGGTTATACCATATGAATTTTCATAGGAATATATGAATTCCGTGGAAATTTCTATCCCCACTCATATTTCAACCGTTTAAATCGTCAATATCCAACAAACACTCCAACGGAAAACTCAATGTATATTCAAATATAATTGTTTTCGTTTGAATTGTCTAATAAATTCAAGCATAATTTTTTACGATAATATTCCATTTGAATGAGTTTTCATTAGAACTTTAATTGGATTTTGATGGTTCTGAATGCCATTTTTCCCACGGTTTAGTATAGTGGGAATTTTAGTTGGAATATGCAAATTCCGTTAGAGTTTTTACTTACACCCATATTTCAACTGTTAAAAAATCTACCGTCAATTTTGTCAAAATCCAACTGAAATCAAATGCAAAACCCATTCTAAGTTTCTAACAGAATATTTTCGTTTTACTTTCCGTTGGAATCTATTGAAAATTTCAACAGAAATAATAACATTTGAATATTTATTGAAATTTTCATTGGAATTTCATTTAAATATATATTCACTGAAATTTCATCATTTTCTTTGTTATTATACTTTTGAAAATTACATTATTTACAATATTTTGTATAATATATGCATTGATTCATATATAATCAAAATAGTTTATCATTATATTATTTATTTTACTAATGAACAAATTTATAAAATATGCATGTACATCATATAACCTATGATTTATCTGTGGACCTTCTCAACGCGGCCCAACTGTTAAATTTTGTGTACCGGAGTCTATTTTTTGTGTCGAACCCATTTTTAATATTGTTATAAATTAGAAAAAATTTGAGAAAAATTATTTTAAGTCCCAAGACCCCATTTTCTTTTCCGGTTCTTTTTTCTTTTAAAAATCCGAGAGTTCAATGTCCACTAAAAATTCGATAAAAATTTTTAATCATTGATTTTGATTAAGTGTGGGTTTTCGATTATTTCGAAGTAATGAGATAGATTATTGATATATATTATCTCGCTTAAATGTAGGTGTATGAGGAGTCGAACCTCTGTCTACCACCGATCATTGTGTTTTCGCCTATCTCTATTTACGAGGTGGGTGTTGATAAACCTTACCGTGTATGCTAATTGATATAATTGCTTGGCTTGATAATCAATGTATGCATGTGAACCGTTAGTCTATGAGAGGTTCTCACGTTGATGGGTTTTCTCGACGTTCTCCTAACTTTAGCCATAGAAAGTATTCTCCCGTTGATGGGTTTTTTCCAGATGTGATCACATGAGCGTAGGGTTGTTAGGGAGGTAGACTAGACGATTTGCTTACATGATGAGATTATGATTTTAAGTCATTATATTGGTTATACAGCATGGTATTTCCACAGTGAGCATGTTGGTCGCTCATTCCCACTAGTTTTCCCATTTTCAAGTTGAGCTGGTAGCCTTGGCAAAAGACGAGCGAGGCAGGGTCACATTATTTGTTGTTTTTGAACTGTTAGTCTGTTACTGCTTCCTCTCCTTTATTTATTATTTGTCTCGTTGTCAGACATGTTTATTATTGATATTGGCGACTGAACCATGCATTTGAATTTTTATGCATGCCAGACTATGAATTTGGATAATTGTTATGAATTGGGATTATTCTTATGTTTGAATAATTGTCGAGGCATGTTTATTGATGGCATGAGATGTTTATCGGGATGGTTGTTTTCCCCGTTGTTTAAATGTTCACTGAAACTGTTTAATTGAGATAAGTTGAGTAATGCCCGTTAATTATTTTTAAAATGATTTGCGAAAAGTTAACTATGATTTTTGAAAAATATTCGGTATTTTCCTCCTTAAAGTAATGGGGGCCTTACAACTTTATTAATGTATGGTAAACCCAAGGTTCTCATAAGGGACCATCTTCAAACCGATAAAGTTATTTATTCATTGATTTATTAGTTGCGTCATAATTTAATTTATTAATGTTTTAATATATATACTACTTTTTGTAATAAATTTATATAAAAAATATCAATTAATGTATGAAAAATTTTAAAATTTTTAGTTATAAAACTAACTAATAAATAATTTATAAACATCTATTTTATTTAAATATATATTTTTATTGTAATAAATTTTAATTGTGAAAAAAATTATTTAAAAATAGTAATGATCTTACCAATCAGACCGCCTGGTATTGACCGATTCACTAGCAAATATTTTATTAAAGTGAACTGGACTGGTCGATAAGTCGGCTCCAAGTCCGGTCCAGTACTGATTTGAAAACAATGAGTAAATCATGATTAATATTATTTATATATTTAATTTATAATACAATCATAATATTATTTTTCTGTGTATCGCACAGGTCAGTACTTGTTTTGAGAATGAATTGAGTATGGATTGAATTTATTTCTAATACAAAATATTTGTAGTAAACCGCTAGGAGCATAAATCCGACCTTAGCTCAGTTGGCAGAGCGGAGGACTGTAGTGAGTATGCTGAAATCCTTAGGTCGCTGGTTCGAATCCGGCAGGTCGGAATTTTTTATTTATTNNTTTTTTTTTGCTATTATCATTCTTTTTATTATGCTGGTTATGATCCTAGTGACACGTCTGAGTTAAAAAGTGCAACACACTATTGAAATCAACAAAATCTTCTCTGTATCGTTCCAATTTTATCGGATGTCCCCGAAGGGATAGAAATCAACAAAATCAATGACTGCCTTTTGTGTGCTTTATTGAACATCAACACCAAATATATGAATATAAAAAGCAAAGGCCTTCAGCAAGCTTGCAAATATATAACACCATCACATAAGTGAACCAAAAGAAAAACCCTACTGGGACATGGAATTATGTACATTGATATGTGCTTCAATCTTTACAATTTGATCCAGCTGAGAAGAAACTATTCAGCACATGAAAATCACTAAACAAATAACTGCCGATTTTTAGACAGCCGGCAGATTCTAGGCGAAGTAATTGCGTGTTTTTATTTTTTTTTCTTCCTCGATTGTGATTGACGGTGCTGAAGATACACAATGACTATTTACAGCGTGCAGTAAAAATTCTGGACCAATAACAATGTCGGGCAATGAAACGAGTCGTGTGTTTCCCTTAGCTTTTCGCATTTGGGGGAGATGTGAAAACGAGCAAGTTAATTGTGGCGTGGGACTCCCAATGGGCTTTCATATATCATTTCCTGCATTTCAAGTAAAATTCATCATTCACAGCCGAAATTCGAGTATTATTCAGATAATTTACTAATCCTCTCAGTGCAATGATAAACTTTTCGGGATGAAGTATCAGTTTGCCCAAGAAAATAACAGAAACTTTTAGATTATTTAAATCACAAAAAAAAAAAGAAAACCTGATCGCAGACGGGGCAAGTGTCACTTCTTTCCTGCCACTCGAGTATGCACGAGAGGTGAAAATGATGGTTACACTTGGTCACAATCTTAGGATTCTCCGAATCGTACTCTGCACACATTGTCACAAAAGCAAAAGTTAATATTAACTTATTACCAACCGATACACGCACAACATAAAAGACAAACACGGTATTCACCTTCAAGACAAGTGGGACAAACATCTTCTTCCTCCTCTTTTTCTTCCATTTTCGTAACATTTAACGGGCTTAACATTGAAAATTCGGGCCCGGGCCCAACTTTCCTTTGAGAGTTCGGAAAAAAGGCAAGTTGAGTGGTAGCCCGATTCGCTTCTTTAAAATGTGGGCTCCCAAATACCACATCGTAAGGCATGGGTGCAGGCGGGGGTCGGAAAGTGTCGGGTATCGACATGTTCGGATCGAAATCAAATGTCAGTCGAGAGTTAAGTAGAGTAGTGGCAGAACCATCTCGAGATGTTAAGGATTGGTACTCTTCCAAAGCTGGTGGGTACTGCAAAAACTTGACGTGAGTAAATCAAAGCTCTTCAAATGGACTCATGTCATCTTAAGTTGAATTTGCAAACGGATGCTTCAAAGGTAAGTACAGAAAATTTGTAATAACATATATTCAGCAGCTAGCATGGATAAGGATAATTTCATATTTCATTGTAATTAAACTTGTTATGCAAACAGAAATATTAAAAAAGATGCATTCTTTTTTTCTTTAATCACTTTCCTGTCAAGCCCTCAAAACGATCACAATATAACTTGGTGTTGACAACATTTTCCATATTGTCATCAGCTTATTACACTGAAATTCTAGTAAATCCAGTCAGCTAAAAAGCTGGGAATTAATGAGTTTGAAAACAAATTCAGGAAACGGGCCAAACACGGAAATGAGATCATTACTATAGTATGATATACTTGGATATCAAAGTTGGTGAAACTAAAGAAAAAAAAAATGGAGTAGGAGAAAGAATACACTTTTATAGCACATAAACATATAGAAAGTAAATAAATAAACAGTACAAGAAAAAGTGCGTAATTGATTAAAGTATTGGTGAAGGAAAACAATATTGACGCAAAAGAAAATATTACGTTGAGATTACTTACATAATAATAAACTGGTGTTCCTTGAAGCTGCAGCTTTCTAGATGAAGAACAGCAACCTCCCATTTTTACCAAGTCCTGTACTTTATTAACTCAATCTACAAGCTTGCTGGCACCTCTGAGTTAAAGGGAAAGAAAAGCTCTTGAAAATCGTAAGCATAAAAAAATTAGTCACAAAAACAGCAACATGCATCATAAATTGAAGCTTCAAATTGAAAAAAAATGAAATCAAAAAGCTACGTCAGAATCTAAGGGATCACCATTCACCATAGAGTCAATTGAGAAATAAATCGAATACTATGACAAGTTATGTGACGAATTACTAAAGCCAAATGAAATAAACACTTACATACCTCACTTACTGGCTTTCGGTTGGGAAATTGAATAGACACAGTAGCTCAAAATTATATTTGCATCTGCAATCTGACTTATTAAATGTATGTTTTTTTCCTTTCTTGAAGGGACAAGATTATTTGCTCAACTACAGCATCTCCACCTAGATGAAAATTCAAAACGACAAAATAATTGCACAATAAATTGACTGAAAAATACAACCTCCCATGCATAAATTCAACACAAAAGATATATAATTTTCATTAAAACATACAACCTTCCGTGCATAAATCCAACACAAAAATAACTAATAGTTTCACTTGATCGAAGGTAACAAAAATGCAACACATTTTTATGGTATCCACAACCTTATACAGCAGTAGCTTAGATTTATTCAGTGAATCAAACAACACAAATAGTGTAAATAACCTCTTATTCTTCTCTCTCTCTCTCTGCTTCAAAATCAACACATACATGATACATGTGAACTCGAAGTTTACATGATTAAAAGCAAAAATCTGCAGCACACACCACATCCGGCTAGGCTCATTCTTATGCTTAGAAGGTAGCTCGAAAATTTAAAGCAACACTAAGAGCAGCCCTTTTGCACTGACACATACATCATGATATTATTATTACAACGAAAAATAAAGGAAAAAGATTAGAACTTTCACTTGTTTTCTTCCACCCCATTTATCCTGATAAGAACTAGAACCTCCAATTTAACCAAATCAAGAAAAAAAGAATGCCGCATCTACTTTCATTTCATCCTCAAATTTGCACGTGGGCTGTCAAACGGGGGCAAAAACGAGTGCGGTCTCACGCCGGTGAAGCGCATCATAAGAGGGTTAGCCCAAATGAAGCCCAAGATAGGTTTCATCCCAAAACCAATCGGTGATATTCCAACATGGGCAGCCTTAATTCAAGTAACACATGACTTTTGAACACATAAAAACACAAAAGGACAGGCACACAAAAGTTTCACAGACAGCCCACGACCAATAATTCAGTTTCAGAGCAGCCCCAAAAGGGGCAAAAAAAA